ACCATTTTTCGGGAATATTTTCCAAAAATTCCATTCCTGAATCGGAGCTCGTCAATTTCAGGAATATATTTTCGAGTTTCCAACACTTGCCGATGAGTTAAAAATAGGCAAAACTGGTTTATGTTAACTGAAACACCCTGTATATATATTTTTTGGCTTTCTTAATCGTATTTTAGGGTAACGTTTACATGAAAATGGTGATGACATTCTGAGCAGTTTTTGAAATATTGACTATTTCTTATTAACTAAAGAACCTGATGTTAACAAAATGCTGTTTGAAAATGTGTGTTGGTTTTCCGAAAATTGAGGTTTTTCCGACCTTTATTCGTAAAAACTTCCCTAAAAATCATCAAATCCGTGCAATTGACTGAAATAAGCATCTATTTTAAAACGAAAATATTATTTAAAACGCATATTTTTGGATCTCGGTCTTTGGTTTTCGAAAAAACCATTAAAGTGCCATTTTCCAACGATTTTTTGCAAATTTTTCCAAGTCGAAATCGCTTCAAACAGCGAGTATAAATCAGATATTTCACAATCTAGGTTTTGCTCAGATTCCAAATGCTCGCCTCAAAGTAATTGAAATTTCGCATACAATTTGAACATTAAAAACCAAAAGTTTTACTAAGAGCGAACTTTTAAAAAATTCGATTGGGCTTTTCGAAAAAAAATTACAAAAATCAAATTTTTTCAACATTTTTAAGTCAATTTTCTCCCGTTTCAATGAAAGTTTTGCTGAATATGCAATTTTTTGGGACTTAATTTTGCCGCATTGTTTGCCAATCAATTTCCAATTCGCTTCTTAAAATCCTGGAATTTTTGCACACTGTTTGGGCATGAAAAAATGAAACATTTACCAAAAAAAACACCCAAAATTAGATTTTTCCAAAGTTTTTCGGGAATATTTTCCAAAAATCTCTTTCCTGGATTGGAGTTGCTCAACAACAAGAAAGATATTTTCGAGTTGTAACACTTGCGGGTGAATCAAAAATAACCTGCTGTATATTTTTAGATTTTTGGCACTTTTTGGGTAGCTGAATGTTTATCATGAACCAAAAAATGCAAGTTTCTAAAAAGCTGTTTTAAATGGCAGTGTCTCTGAGCGTTTTCAGGCGGAACCTGACAGCGGTTGTCGACACTAGTAACCGAAACGTTGTCGTCAGACAAAGCATTTTTGTTAGGCAATGGAAGCGCAAATTGATCATTCAACGATTATTCAGCGTTAAGAGCATTCGGCCTCTGAAGATGCGGGTCACTCGTGAAGGAATCATTATTTCCTTTGGCGTCCTGAAAACTCGAAAAACTCCAACAAACAGCCCAGATAGCATTTGATATTCTATGAATATCCCAGAATGTTCAAAAAATATACAGAACATTGCGGGAATATCCTGCGAATATACATAGGTGAACATTCCTAACATGAATGTTCGTGGAATATACATGCATGTATATTCATCAAAGTTCATAAAAAGTATATCCTAGGTATGT